ATCACTTCGTGATCGTTGACGTATACGCGCATCCCTTTCCCCTTCCCGTATCGCTCGCCAGTGCTGTCGTACATAATTGTAACGTTGTTTCCACGATATAATAGGTTTTCTACCAAAAGGTATGACCACGTCTTGGGCACTAGTGGATCAATGACCAGGGTATAATCGGGTTGGGGTAAAATGCCCAACAGCTCGTGCAAAACGTTGTCGGTGAATGTCGAGTGGGCGTAATGTTCAGAGTGATTGCTAGATTAAAGTAATACAATTGTAATTATCCATGCCCAATTTTTAAATAGGTTAACGCACCGGGAATCGCAAACCCAGAAGTCACCGCCCGGTGAATGACACTCAGCCACATATGGTTTGTTGTCCTTGTATTGAGTGATGGCATACGTCTCGAGGAGTTGGTAATACTGGGCGGCGGTTACGGCCGGGTTTTGACTGGTGTATTGGCGTAGGTGTGCGGCCACCGAACTGAGCACATGGGCGGTCGAGTAGGGCCATGAGTTGCCGTTCCACCAGCAACATCCCGACCGTTGGCTCCCGTCGTACCACTTGCTGCGGGTCTCGCAGGTGGACGGCCCGTATCGGGTGCCGAAACCCTCGGGGTTGAAGAGCTGGTCAAAGGCCAGAGAGTAGTTGTGCCGCTCGTCGGGCACTGAGAAACGCCACGGATAGAGACCCACCTCTTCCCGGGTGTCCAACAGTGTGTGGTTTGTGTTGTTTTCTCTAACAATTTTGAGATTTGCGACATGTTTTTTAGTTGTTTTTATGAATTTTTAGTTTATTCAAAATAATATAACAATATAATCTTAATGATTAACTTAATACCTGTATTTAAAGTTTATATTATAAATAGTTAAATATCAAAATTATATTACTTTATGATGAAAATGCAAAATATTGTGAAATTTTATCTGTCTTTAGTAAACCTTCTGTAATAAATTATTACTAATAATTCTCTACTTGTAAAGAATACATTAAATCCTTACAATAACTTCACATTGTATTCACATGCTGGAATTTTACCATATTACTATATCAGTTAATAATATTAATTTAATATCTTACTGTAGATATAGATTAATTGTTAAAAATGCTTACAAACCTTTGCATGTGGTAAAAGAACTGTCTGTTTGGGTCCCACAAGTGCTCAATAATGGCTGCCCTCAACCTCTGGGCGATATCATTGAACTCCCGTTCGCTGTCCTTATCGTCGGCGAGCGCTGACATGCGTGCGATGGCCACAGCGTTGCCATACATTTCCGAGTTATGACTCGGCCTATAACCCACTCCCCCGTGATATTTGTCTTTAGTCTGTACGGAGGCGGCCGAGTACTCCTGTGCGTCCCACTCGGGCGATATGTAGTACAGACCCAGCGATGGCTCAAAGTGGTCGGCCCAGAGGTCGTACGTACGCCGAAAACTGGCCAATTGGGAGACTATAAAGTTTTTGTCGCCGTTAACCAGATATGCATTATAGGCCGCGTCGGCGATCCACTCCGAGTATTGGTGATTACTCCGACTGTCCAGTTGTCGGGCGTACACATTGATGTAATCCTATGATTTTCATGGCAAAATATTTAAATTAAATAGTTTAAAAATGTTATAGTGTTTATAATAAATCTTATATGATATCATACTTTAACCAAGCTGGTATCCCGGAGCCAACGAGCCTCGTATATATGATGTCCACCGGCGGCGTTAATGACCCCAAACTTGGCGCTATAGCCCACGTCGTGCACAAACTCAGTGATCATATACCCGGTGCCGGCCGTTAAGTATCGTAAATGCCGTTTCAATGATGACCACCGATAGTAATACACGTCTTCAATGTGTTTGTCCGGTATATCAATGAATGGTATGTTTTCTATAAACCATTGTTTTTCGGCATAATTTGCAACTTTTGTTGATTTATTTATGAAATTAGTTGCATGCACATTTAATACATATAAACATATAGTTAATATATAAATAGTTATAGTTATAAAATTCATGTTTTATTTTTGTTTAGTTAAATGTAATTACTTTAATATATTTAAACTAATATATGAATTTTCATTTACAGTATATATAAGACAATTTCATTTATAAAGTGTTTAATAAAATATATCATTTGATTAAAATAAATATTAATGTGAGAAAATTATCACATTTTCAAAAAGCATCTCAGAAGTAAATTTGTTTTTATGTGAAAACAACATTTATTTGTGATTTAGTTTAGTTAAAATTATTGTTTCAATGTGGAATTTTTTACTTTTGTTCTTAGTTACATTAACTATGCTATTTTAATTTTTAGCCAATTAAACCCTGTTATATAAAATACTTAATTACGAAAAAAATATAGACTTTAGTACAGATATGATTGTAGTATTATATCTATTATTTATATCACGTATTTAAACAATTTAGTTGTTGTGAGAATTATTTGTAAGAAACAACTGTTAAATCTTTATATCAAATATATAACATCTTATTTATCACTGTTTAATGTACTGTATGTTACACACCAAACAAATCCATGTTACAATCCATAATCCTTATTGCTTTAAATAACACCTGAAAATATTCATGTCTATGAGAAGCAATGGGCGAAATAACTTATGCTCACATATCACTAAATTTGTACTTCAATTATTACTTAATGGTTAAAATTAAAATTGGTAAATTACCAAAATTGTGAAGCTACTTATTTTACAAAGTAAAATACAAAAATCCACATATTTTAGGTGTTTTTCACTTACTATTATGAAAAATTGACATAGTTTATAAATCAAAAATAAGATATTTAATTGTATTATTTTTATTAATTATACATGATAAATCATTTTAAAACTACTTCACCATAAATTGTAAATTATTTTGTCATATGTTTTTAGTAAAATAGTCCCAAACAATTTTATTTATAACTTTGATATACTCATTTTAATTAATGATTATTTTTACAAAAACGTATTGTATAATATACAGTACTACACTATAGTAAAATAAATATGAGACAAAAAACCAAATTTTGTAAATCATTTGTTAATTTATATTATTTTATTAGTTTTATTAATATTTATTTGTTATAAAACTTGTCAAGTTTATATGAATTTATTAAAAATAAAATAACAAAACGTTATAACTTTATAAATTTAATACCTAACAATCAGTGAACAATCTGTATTTTATCAAGTTCAGCAAAGTTGTCCTTATGTTGAAATACCAGTGCATTATTACCATAGAGTAAGGGCACCGACACATCAACATAAGTATTATCATCAAAATGTCCCCAACCGGAGGCTGTCGGCCGATACTTGACTTCCAATGTATGCAATTGATTGACAACCAACCCATGGACTGAGTCCTGGGCGCCGGCGTTAGCGTAAAACACTCTCATTTTATAGTCACCCGATTTATTGACGTAAAAGCCGCTCAACTCAACCGACGACCCCTTGTTGTCCAATCGGCCGACGTATGCCTCACCCGAAGCGGTCGCTGATCTCTCCAACTCGGCGTCGGTTATCACACCGTCTTCGGCCTCATAGGTGTCCGCAACGGACGGCCACTCAGACCACACCTCCATCTCAGTTATACCGCAATAATAATCTTTAGCGACATTACGTGTGAATACCACTCGTATTTGTGTTGTCTTAACCGCTTTAAACGCGATAACATTGAGATTGTTGGGCGAACACTGGACCGGACTGGCCGTCTGACTCTCGGCGTCCACCCATTTGTTACCATCGATCACATAATACTGGACCAACATTTTTGTGGGACAGTCGGTACGGCCCTCACCGGTCACCACATCCGAGTAGACGTACAGTCGGACACTAGAGACCTCCTTTGGGCGTCCAAAATCGACGGCCAGCCAATCGCTTGCCCCTCCGGACTGCCAATTAGACCACCGATTGCTGGGCACGTAATCGTAAAATACCCGGCCGTCCACTGCCTGCCAAACGCAGCCCGGGTTGTTGTCCGTGAAACTGGCGTAGGGTCGGGGATAACCCTTCCGGTACGGGTTGGCAGCGAAGTTGGCCGACCCATGCCGTAAGCTGTGGTCAGTGTCGACGGGTGTAATGTTTACCACAACTCTCTGTACAGTGTCTTTGTGTACCATTTCGTGATCGCTAACGTATACCCGCATACCTTTACCCGACCCGTACCGCTCGCCAGTGCTGTCATAGATTACCGTAATGTTGTTTCCCCGGTATAATAGGTTTTCCACCGAAAAGTATGACCACGTTTTAGGCACTAGTGGGTCAACTATCAGGCTATTATCTGTTTGTGGCAGGATACCCAACAGTTCGTGCAAAACGTTGTCGGTGAATGTCGAGTGAGCGTAATGCTCCGAATGATTGCTAATGAACAAGGTAAAATAATTGTTTATAATTAATCATGTATAATATTTAACATTTTTGTAACGCACCGGGAATCACAAACCCAAAAATCACCGGCCGGTGAGTGACACTCAGCCAC